GACGAGCCGGGGTGTCTCGCGGCGGTGTCGCGGCTGCTGCGGGCCAGCACCCGCAACCGCGGGGCCGACCTCCCCACCCTCCCGCGGCTGCGGGAGGCGCTGAGCGACCGGCGCCGGGCCGGCCCCGCCCGCCTCGTCGCGGCGGCCACCTTCGTGAACACGACGACGCGGACGGTGCAGGTGGTGCATTGCCGCTGCGCCCACCTCTGCACGGCCTACCAGGGCGGGAAGGAGCTGGAGGACATCGTCTGCTGGGACCTCGAGACGCAGGTGTGCAGCCTGTGCGGGATGCCCGGGGCCTGCGTTGCGTGCTACCACCCGGAATGCCACGAGATCTACCACGTCGTCTGCGCGCTCTTCAGCGGCGGGTATGTGAACTTCGGCGCGAAGGACCCGCACCTCCCCTGCCCGGCCTGCCCCCGCCACACCCAGGTCGTCCTGCCGAACCAGCGCCGAAAGGACGAGGTCCGGCTCACCGACGCGAGCTGCTGGACGGACGGCATCGCTTTCGACTCGCGCGTCGTCACCGCGACGGACTTGCGCGATCCGGACGAGAACAACGGAGAGTAAACCGGCGACCGCATCGCAGGGCAAGCGAAGATCGGCCTCCGCTAATCGTCGTTGGGCGATTCCAGGCACAAGTCCTAGTTTGGTCAATTTTCACCAATCGTCTTTCGCACACCCGAAAAGGTGGGATTTCACCGTCGCAACGGATATTCAAGTTTTAGTGCATAGAGCCACACGTCAAAAAAAGAAACATTATAGCTTTTTGGGAAAACTGTAGTATTTCGAGTTTTCTTATCCATGCCATTACAATCTAATATTTCAACCCTTTTTTTATCCATATTTTCTATAGTTTTTTTTCTCTTTTCATTATATATATAATATATATTTATATCTTCTGCTATCATTACACTTGTGAATTTTTTAAGGATAAAATATTCGCGGGGATTCGTCTTTGTCTAAATTTTTTTTCAATTATTTTTATTGGCATTAGGGTTCCAGTATGGGTAGTACTCCCCCATCAAAAAGTCGATCGCCGACAACACCGTTGCCGCAGCTGATGCTTCCAAAAGGATGCCGACTACTGTGCGAGAATGTCTTCGAAGAAGATTGCTTTTCGGACAATGATAATAAGGATTTTCAGATGCGTCGGGAGCCCACTATGGTTTGTCGTGGGAGTAAGCTGTTGGCACCTCTGTTAGAGAAGGAAAAACGCTACACGGTTGTGTTCGATCTTGACGAAACCGTCGTGTATGCCAGGGACGGCCCACTCTACGCGAGAGCCTACCTAAGAGATCTGCTCCGTGCGATTAAAGACCACTTCGAGGTCATCGTATGGACTGCAGGGGAACGCGAGTACGCAAAAAACGTCCTAGCCGAGATCAACGAAGACTACATCATACGTCACCTCGTCTACCGCCACAAAAAGTGGTTTCACGGTGACGACTACACCAAAGACCTTCGCCAGCTTGGACGTGACTTGGACTACACCATTATGATCGAGAACACACCCGACTGCGTCCGGGCGAACCCTGAGAATTGCATCATCGTGGCCGATTTTGAGGTCCCATCCGCTTTCGAGGATGTGAGCGAAAAGAACCCTGAAACGATGGAGGATGCGGTGGTGCCCATGTCGGAGTCATTCCCAAGCTACGGCAGCCAGCCTCAGAGGACCTCAACGCCCCCCCTAGACTCCAACGACTCCTCTTGCTCTTCCCTTCTCCCCCTCCCCTTTCAGCACCCAACCAAGGGTGTGGAGAATGAGCAGAGTCCGAGGGGTGGGGTAGAAGGGTCAAGCGAAAGTCCCAAAATCACGCCCAGATCTACCCCAAAGCCCCCTCGTGCTACGACGGACCGCACCCTATACTTGTTGAGGGAGGTGCTCTTGGAGATGGTGAAGAGCGGCCAAACCGTCCCGGAGTTTCTCGCGCGCTGTGAGTTGCTGTCGAAGCAAGTCGTCCTAGGTAGCAATGGCGAGTCGATTCCGATCCACTACCTCGGCACTCGCCGTCGACGCAAAGACGCGGGTTGTCCCAAAAAAGTTCTGATGGAGAATCGCGATAAGACCACGATCAAGCGATCTAAACGTCAAGAAACCACGCCTACCAATGATCCCAAAAGGTTACGAACCTATTCTCGAAAAGGATGTTTTCATTAGAATGAGGAGGGTAAAAATGTTGAGGATAGTAGGATATGAACAATGCCACAAATTATTGAATGAAACATTATTGCACTATTTCAATGCTAACAAAATTAAAACCTCTATGATTTTTTATTTACCCTCCCCCCCCCCCCCCCCTTCTAATGTTCGTTTTATTTGTAGATTTGCTTGTGCAGTTCTATCACGTAATTTTCGAGATCATCAGCACAAATACGCGATAATGAAACTTGAAACAAGGGAGCATAGAACATCAGAAAACTACTTAATCCAGTTTGCCGATCAATTGAAACTTGGCGATTTTTACTTGGGGTGGAATAGAGTCAACCACCGAAGGAGCAAGAGAAAATCAACCAAAGCTGGTCAAGCTTGGAAAAATGAGTCCTCCACTGCAAAAAAGAGAGGCCCCGTAGCGGCACGAAAGGCTAGAAAAACAGACAGTAAAAAATCCGTACTTAGGGAGGCCAACAAAAAACGGCGACCCCCACGCAGTCGGACTAAGTCATCTTCCTCTCGGCTTCCAGAGGCAACGGTAAACGGGAAGACCGACGCGCCGGCGGCCACCACAACGAAAGCCGCCCTGTCGGCCCCGAAACCACAAGCCCCTCATGCAGTGCAGACAGTCGTAATGCCCAAATTGGCAGCGAATCCGAAAAAAGCGAAGAGCGCGAGCTCCCTCTCCCTTCCGCCTCAGCCGCCTCTTCCCACCAACCCGGCGCCTTTGATGGCGGGGAAACGCCTTGTGAATCCAACCATCCGGCTGATTAGCGGCGAAAAGTATCAGTGCAGGACCCCGGAGGACACCCCCCTCTACGAGTTCAAAAGCATGCTCCGTCGGCTGAAAGATCCCAAGGCGGGCGAAACGACAGACTTCAACAATGCCTGTCATTCCATGCTCCTCGTGATGAATGGGGTGGTGCTGGAAGGAAAACAGGAGACGCGCCTGAAGGATTTTAATATTACAGATGATTCAACCATTTACCTTTTCCCATGAATAATAACAGCTACTTGAATTTGTGATGGTTTATGAATAGACACAAAAAAAATAACGTAGCGGGTTTTTCTTCCTTTTTCGGCATAATTCAAATAGTTCACCAGGATTTTTCTCATAACTTTTGAAAACTTTACAGAGGCGTACAAAATGGCCAAAAAAAATGCGGGTTTACTACAAAATGAGCACTTTTGTTTGAGAGTTGATCCTCTTTTTTTCCTTCATTTCTGAAAATGAATGCTAGCGGTAAAAAACATGGTACCAGCCCTCTTTCCCACCCTTTTTTTTTTACGCCAAGAGAGATGGTAGAGATGCCAAGAGCTTGTCGATGCTCTCTTAGCGTTGTATTTTATATTTAGTCTTATACATAATAATCCTTATCAATTTGGCTTTTGCCAAGCGGCCCAAAGAACCGCCTGAGGCAATTGTAACAGAGGTTTTCGCGGTAGGGGCGGCTATGCACGTAGAAAACGGAGAGGTCCCGCAATGATAACTTATACGTTGTCCGAAAAAGCGCCATTTTGATATACCGATAGGAGATGGGAAAAACAAAGATCGCCTCGACCAACGCCGCGGCGAGGCAGGCGACTATCGCAATCCAGGAGTTCTGCCCTGAATCCCAATCGCCCACCGATTCAGGGTAGGACAATCGAACAACCGTCCGCGCGATAATATAACTCAAGAGCCCTGACCGCATAATAAAAATCCCCGCAAAGAAGCGATAGGTTCGTTTCGCCACGCAGCATCCCAGGATTCGGCAGTGGTGGTCGAACTCCTCGACGCAGACATCGCAGAACTGGCAGTGCGTACTGTAGGGCGGGCGGATGATATGGCAGGTCGGGCAGACTTTGCACATCGTGGGGACCCCGTTTAGCGTGCGAAGCTCGGGCGCCCTCGGCGTGGCCGCCGCCGGGGCCGGCGGGACGATCCCGGGGTCGATCCACACCGAAAGCAGCAAACACGCCAAACCGCCCAGCAGGAGCGAGCCCAGGACGAGGTAGCTGAACCACTCCCCGGGAGGGGGCACCACGAGGAGAAACCCCACGCCTTCGCAAAGCAAAAGCAGCCCGACGAGATAGGCATGCCAGTCATCTTGGCTGCAAATAAAGCAGCCCATCTTGCGAAAATTGCCCAGCGCGCGTTTGTGGGCCCTCGGCTCGACCACTAGGGCCGATGGGGGCACGCCGTCAAGTGGGTGGGGTTCCGTCGGGCGCGTGGGGTTGGGGGCACCTGAAACGGCCATCGCGGCGTCTGGCAACTCGGGCGATCCGATCTCGCCCTTCCCATCGTGAGGCCCGGCGGTTCTCGCCTGAGCGGTCAAATCGCCATCCTCGAGCGGTTTCCCATTCGTGAAAGAAAGTGCGGCCTGGGAATTGACCGATTGCGCGGGCGTCTCGGGATGCAGGTGGGATGGGGCAGCCGGATTGGGGGGCGCCGCCATGCGAGGTTGATTTGGCCAATCCGATGTCGACAGGGATGGACTGGGGCGGTGGGCGTCGTTGGAGGTCGGCCGCGGCCTGTCTTCCTTGGAAAGAGGGGAGGGGATTGCCACCCTTGGGCGGGGGGAGGCCGTGTCGAAGACCTGCTCCGCCTCGGGCGAGAGCCGGGGGCCCTCCGCAATGTAAACTAAACCTACCCCATTGTCTATGAAAGTCATGAATGATATAAAAAAGTGAAGGAAAGAAAGGATACTTGTAAAATTAAAACCCCCTAGGTGCTAGGGCGCAACTTGTTTCTTTAACTGAGATGTGAAGGAGGGAAAAGGAAATATGGGAAGACACTTAAGATTGAAAGAGTGGATTCTGTGGCCGTGCCCTATTTGATTATTTTGAGGGGAAGACTTGGGACATTTTTTCTATTCTAGTATAAAAAAAAATAGAATTCAGCTCTCCTCAGCTTCCCTTTGTGCCGTGAGCCTTGACCACCGCTTCTTGGAATAGAACAATGCCCCTAAGCCAACTGTGAGAATCGAAAAGGCCCGCAATCCTCGCAAACTCAGCTGTTTAAGAATTTTGACATTTTCTTCGAACCCTTTCTCGCCGATTTCTGTAGCTATTCGAATTTGTTCGGCGGCCTTGGCATCAATGGGTAGAGCCGCCTCGGGTGTGGCCGCTTCAGAGGATGTCGTCGTTTCCCGGCTTGTGTGGAGGTGCACCTTCGTCAACGAGAAGGGCGTGAAGAAAAGAAGACGCCCACGACCTATAGGATACGACGCCATACGGCTTCGTAACCATCTCATTAGGATGAAACGAATCTGAAATGTGGTGAAACCAATTTATTTATGTTACTGAGGATACAAATGGAGGAGGGGTAATAATTCGGGGGTGGGGAAAGGGGGGAGGGGGGCTTCGAGCACCGATTGCTTCCATAATAAAAGAAGCGGCACCTTAAAGTGGGACGAGAAGAGGCTCGCCACACATTGGTGAGAAATGAATTTGCATTTATTCAGTGATAGAGGTACTGACCCCAGAGTTTATCTTTGGCAATGTAATATCAATGATTTTAAAGGTTCATTTTATAGTTCCTTGATTACGAGGGAATTTGAAAAGACAAGTATTGTTTTCTCAGAATATTCAATTTACCATTGAAGCCAATTATGTTCCGAAATTTTATAAGAGCACAGGGTATCTTTGTGTAAAAAGTGGGTATGATATATAATAAATTCTATCTATACGGCGTCCTGCAAAGAGAGAAACACAGGAAATAGCAATATCATGAGAAGCCTCCCGTTTTTTCCTCCACGTGGACTACCAAATTGCTGATTATCCACCTCGTACCTAATTTATCTCTGATCATGCCGTTACGCTTTCCCAGAAAGAAAACAAAAAAAAGACCATCGCCGAGGATTCTACAGCTTCATGCTCCCCTTTGGGGTTCTTAGACTAAGCAGGCCGTTTTTGCGCCGAGTGCTGGAGCGGTTTGGATGAAGATCGGAATTGCTCCCTCCTAACTCCTTCTTTTCTGCACTGCGTGTGGGTTCATTCCGTAAGCTGGGTGTTTTTGTGGACGCTCGAATAAGGGAGCGATTGGGATTCACCCCGCGAGCGCTAAGAACGCCAACCCCGCTATCCGCACGTGAGTGGTACTCGCTAAACGGGCTGCTTGCGCGGCTTAAAGACTTTAGGGAAGAAACCAAATTAAGCCTCAGCAGATCGGGCGGGTTGGTGGAGGATGGATTGGGGTGCATTCGGTGTGATTCCTCCGACATCGGAAGAACCCTTTCGGTGTTTTTTTTGCCGGTCCCTGGGCGGCTGCTCTCTAATAGGTAGTTCAACGAGGGTCGACAATTCGAGGGGGTTCGCCGCAGCGGCGTCCCTCGGGCCTTCTGTTCGTTCAGCTGCTTCGAGAAGAGGTCCAACTTTTTGCCTAGGATGGTCACGACCGCCTGCAAATTACGGCAGTCCGCGTCGCGCTCGGCGAGGACCTGTGCGATGCCGTCCAAACGCTCCTCGAACTCCTCGCGCTGGCGGCGCAGCTCTGCAGCAAAGACTACCTTTTGCCGAAGAAGTTCAGTGCGAAGCGCGCTCAGCTCCTCCGAGTCCATTCCTCTTAAGCGCTCTTTGCTCCTTCTTATTGGTTTAAAATATTCCTGTAGATATCCAAGAGAATACAGGGTAATCACTGCAACGAAATTATATATATATAGATATGGATATACATAAGCAACAATTGTGAAAAGAACGTAATTTGGTAAGGAAAAAAACATCTCTTGCAGAAGGCAGTAAGTAAGCATCGGAAAAAAGTTAATACCATAGTGAATAAAAAAAATTAGCTATTTATATATGTTTTTAACCGTATTAACTTCCATCATAAGTGAAATTTCATCTGTAACAACGACACCCCCCCAAAAGTATCATTTGGGAACTATGCCTTCTCCGGGTTTCGCATTTTGCGCTTTACGGGCGGACGGGGGCCTTTTGGCTTCGGCTTCTCCCCGCCAATGAGAGGACGCAAATCTTTCGGAATCTTCTTGCGTGGGTTTGTAACCACCCCCATCCAGGAGTGGAATTCGGACTTTTTAGCCCGCCCAGCTCCCTTCTCGCCATTCTTCTCTGTTCGATTCCTTTTGGTCTTTCCATCTCTCCCCGTGCCTCCCCCCTCGACGGCGTGCCGCTGGCGCTTTCCGAGCGCGATCGGGTGGCCCTCGGTTTTCGCGCTATTCCGCTTATCCCGGCGGCTCGCGACCGCCGCCGAGGCGGCCTTGGACTTATTCGCGTGGACGATGCGAATCGCGCGGCCGTTCAGCACGCCCCCGCGCACCGCGATCGCGGGCGCCACCGAGTCCGGGGAGCCGAACTCGACGTAGCCGAAGCCCTTGCAGGCGCCGGAGTCTCGATCGCGAACGAGCCGCACCCGCCTCACATCAGCGACCCCCTGCTCGACGAAGAAGCGCCAGACCTCCTCCTCGG